TGCCTAAAATGCACCATAGGGCGTTTATCGCCAATGATTATTTTCCACGCGTGTGCCTATCGACTCGAGTGACAACGTAGTGGGGAGGAGCCCACGTTCTCCGGCTTTAGATTCTTGTACGGGCTGCGACGGGTGTCCAATGTATGGTCTTTTGGGAAGCGTGACAAGGCGTTTAGGTTCGTAACCGCTCCCCCAAGTTGGATTCGCCGTGGTTCAAGGATTTCTTTTACGCGAAACCGACGACAAAGTGGTATTCGGGTGACAAGCAACCGAGAACGGGATTTGCGTACGGGAGGAAGGAGAATTGGGATGCAAGGCTTTGGACACTGGACTCCCAGAAGGATCACGCCTTGAAACTGGCTAGGCTGTCTCCGTTTAATGTGAGGCCTGGGGGACCTGACTCCGTGGGAGCCATTCTGACTGGGCTCTACGGATATGGTCAGTAGTGTACTTATTTCGATTCTTGAAAACGCTTTCCTCTTTTGTTTGTGACGCTAAATTTCCGTTTTGTATGCAGCCATGAACTTCGGGAGCGTAGCATGTATGGCGCGACCTCTGAGGCGTAACAAGAATCATCCGAAGACCGGTAATGCTCCCATCTCTGCATTGAGGCCCAGCTCGTCCACCGTCCCTCCGGTGGCGACAAGGGCGCTCGGTCCTTTGATTAAAGCTCCCGTGCCCGCCGTCCAAGCTACGCTTGCAAGCGGGGCCGATGGGGTCATGACGGTGAACACAGGCGGTGATGCCAGCCGTCTACGCGGGATAGTGGGAAGCGTGTTGCTGAAACCCCGGCCAAGGATGTCGATCCGGTTCGTAAGAAGGTGAAGGCTACCACCATGACTGAGACTGTTGCCTTCTCCCCGCATTCCTCGCTTCACGAAGACTGCGCTCGCCGCATGCTACATGAACTGTCTAGGAAACTCCTTGTGCCTTCGGAGTATACTGATCTCGACGATCCATCGTCAAGGCATTGGGTCGGCACTGCTGCCCGTTTCTTGCTAGCTGTAAGTTCGACGAACTCTGACGGTATATTTATTGCATGGATCATCGCTTACGGTTACGTTATTTGTTTTGCAGGCGGGTGTTGGTCTTTCCCAGATTGGGATGACCAACGAGAAACTCCACATGGCGAACCTGCGGAGCGGCGTCGAGGCGGAAAAGTCGTGCAAGAGGATCGGGGAGCTGGAAGCTGAGAGTCTTAAGGGTCGGCTGACCGCCCGGGCTGAGGCGAAGGCAGAGCTGGAGAAAGAGCATGCGGAGGCGCTTAAAGAGCTGCGCGCGGAATTGTCACGCGGTGTCCAGAAGGTTAACAGTTTGATGGCGGACAAGGAAATCTTGGAGGCAGACGTCGATCGTTACAGCAAGCGTGTTGAAGAGTTGGAGACGGAGAAGAATGAGACTTCTTTGAGGCACAAGATGGAGGTTGATGCTGTAACCAAGTCTGCGGTTGCTTCTTACTTGTTGTCTCTCGCCTTCCGCCAGATTGACGACGCGAAACGCTCCAAGGTTATGGGAGACACTGTTGCTTCCATTCGCCACCTGTTCCGCAGCAACCATCCGGAGCTTGAGTGGGACACGGACGCGGTGTGGGATGCCGTTGTTGCGTGGGGCACTTCTGAGAGCGATGTGAATTCCGAGCAAGCTCTCGTGGACGCTTCGGGGGGCGAGGAGGCTACGTCTCAGGGTGGTGCTTAGATCAATTCATGTTATTCCTTTCATTTGTAACTTTCTTCTCTTTCCGCACTATGAACAATTTCCGCTCTCGGGTGGAGCCTTAACTTTTCCTTTTTTCCGCGCACCTGTAATATTATTATTCTCTTTCTTATTATGTACGGTGTAGAGTCTTTAGACATTGGCAATGTTTTTCGCGGGTGGGGTATTCGACTCTGGGATGCGTTAGAAATCGGCCTCGCTCTGCCTCTGGGTGGCGTGTTATGGGCGAGTTCCTGCCCCTTAGGGCGTTCCGCGGACGGTTTATTCTGCTTCAGGGTAGCGTGTTATGAATAACCCATGTCCCGGGACGCATTTGAATTTGGACTCGCTCTGCCTCTGGGTGGCGTGTTATGAAGGAGTTCCTGCCCCTTAGGGGGTTCCGCGGGCGGGTTATTCTGCTTCGGGGTAGCGCGTTATGAATAACCCATGTCCCAGGACGCGTTTGAATTTGGACGCGCTCTGCCTCTGGGTGGCGTGTTATGAGTGAGTTCCTGCCCCTTAGGGCGTTCCGCGGGCGGGTTATTCTGCTTCGGGGTAGCGTGTTATGAATAACCCATGTCCCGGGACGCATATGAATTTGGACTCGCTCTGCCTCTGGGTGGCGTGTTATGGGCGAGTTCCTGCCCCTTAGGGCGTTCCGCGGGCGGGATATTCTACTTCGCGGTAGCGTGTTATGAATAACCCATGTCCCGGGACGCATTTGAATTTGGACTCGCTCTGCCTCTGGGTGGCGTGTTATGGCCGAGTTCCTGCCCCTTAGGGCGTTCCGCAGGCGGGTTATTCTGCTTTGGGGTAGCGTGTTATGAATAAACCATGTCCCGGGATGCGTTTGAATTTGGACTCGCTCTGCCTATGGGTGGCGTGTTATGGGCGAGTTCCTGCCCCTTAGGGCGTTCCGCGTGCGGGTTATTTTGCTTCGGGGTAGCGTGTTATGAATAACCCATATCCCGGGACGCGTTTGAATTTGGACTCGCTCTGCCTCTGGGTGGCGTGTTATGAGCGAGTTCCTACCCCTTAGGATGTTCCATGGACGGGTATTCTGCTTCGGGGTAGCGTTTTATGAATAACCCATGTCCCAAGACGCGTTTGAATTTGGACTCGCTCTGCCTCTGGGTGGCGTGTTATGAGCGAGTTCCTGCCCCTTAGGGCATTCCGCGGGCGGGATATTCTGCTTCGGGATAGCGTGTTATGAATAACCCATGTCCCGGGACACGTTTGAATTTGGACTCGCTCTGCCTCTAGGTGGCGTGTTATGAGCGAGTTCCTGCCCATTAGGGCATTCCGCTGGCGGGTTATTCTGCTTCGGGGTAGCGTGTTATGAATAACCCATGTCCCGGGACGCGTAACAAAAGCTGTTTTGAAATGCCTAACCAAACACCTTCACTTCATTAACTTCCAAAATACTATTACATGCTTAGCTCGCCATATAGTACTTGCGCAGGTGCATAGAATTCCAAGTTTTTCTCAATGGTTCCCCGCCCATCGTGGCAAGCTTGAAAGTGCTAGGGACGAGTTTGTCGCTAACTATGTAGGGTCCTTCCCAGGTGGCTGCTAGCTTCCCGTGTCTCTCCTTCTCCTTTTTGTCGAACATTCTTCTGAGAACTAAGTCGCCTTCCTTCATCGGGCGTGGTTTAATCTTATGGTTATATGCTTTGGCGACCTTCCCCTTCTCGGCCATGGTTCTTGTGAGCGCGGCCTCCCTGCGCTCTTCTATTAGGTCAAGGTGGAGCAATAGATTAATGTGGTTGTCTTCCGGTTCATAAGCTCGCACCCGGAGGGTGCGTAGTTCCAGCTCCGTGGGGACCATCGCCTCACATCTGTAGGTGGGAGCGAAAGGCGTTTCTCCTGTCGCCATTTTGTATGTGGTGCGATGAGCCCAGAGGATGCGCGGAAGCTCTGTGGTCCACGATCCTTTTGCTTCTCCTAGCCTCCGCTTCAGACCCCTTAGTATGAGCTTGTTGGAGGACTCAACATGCCCATTGGCTTGGGGGAAAGCGACCGATGTCAGGCTACACTTTATGTCGTACTCCGCACAAAACTTCTCGGAAGGTCGACAGTTAAACTGGGTCCCATGATCGGTAATGATTGCCTCCAGTATTCCAAAGCGTATGATAACGTTGTTGAAGAGAAATTTCTGCACGAGGGCTGTTGTAAAATAATCGACGGCGACCACGAAGTACTTCTTTCCAAGCGGGGCGTTGGGGAACGGTTTTAGTAGGTCCAATCCCCACCTTGCGAACGGCCACGGGCTGACGATTCCCTTCATTTCGGAGGCGGGCTGATGGTGCTTGTCGGCGTGAACCTGGCAAGCATGATACTCTTGGACAACCATGAGCGCATCCTTCTTTATGGTAGGCCAGTAGTAGCCTTGTAGGAGGATGGTCCGCTCGAGGGTTCTTGGTCCCATGTGCGTGGCGCAAGAGCCCTGGTGTATCATCTGGAGCGCTTGACCTGCCTCTTCCCATCCCAAACATTTCAGGTAGACTCCCAAAAAAGATCTCTTGTACAACTCCCCCCCTACGACTGAGAATCAAAGCGCCTTTCGGCGGAGCGCCTTGGCCATCGCGTGGACATTGGGGAATCGTCTTTTTCAAGGAAGTTTAGGATCCCGTGCCACCAGTCACCCTCCTCGGCGTGGAAAAGAAGAGGATGTTGGCGGAGCTCCCATTATCGATCAAGGTCTTGGTAATCTTGTACTTTCCTGTGCGGAACGAGATGACCAGAGGGTCCTCTGCCGCTTCTGGGCTTTCGCTAATTCCGAGGCGTTGAAGATTACCTCGGCGGATGTGGACGCGGCTACCGTCATGCATTGCGGGTCATCCGTAGTTCTTGGCCTCTTTTTCCTCCCCCCTGATATCGTGATTACTTCAAAATCGTCTTCGTCGAGGCGTAGTTGCCTCCTAGGAGGCGGAGCTCTTGGTGGGGAGGGCAGTCGCTCCCTCCTCCTTCCACGGGAGCGAGACCTTGACCTATTCCTCGGCGACCTGGATCGGCTTCTTCTGGGGGTCCTGGAGCGGTGTCTTTTGGGAGATCTGCTTTGTCTTCTTCGAGGCGATGGCGATCTCCCTCTTTCTTGCTTCTTAGCCTTGAGTCGGTTGGGTAAGTCTCCGGGTGCCAGATTGGCGAGGCTCATCTGAAAGTCGCGGCAGTCTGTCGTGCTGTGCGTTGCTTTTTGGTGCCAATCACACTATCTTCTGAAGACTGGGGCTTCGGGTCGCCGAGGGTCTTCTGCCCAGGCTTTGTCAGCGCGCACCTGATTGGAATTTCCCCCCTTTTCACGGTCTGCCGCGTAAATTTCCCTTTTGTTCTCTCCCCCTCTCCCCTTCGCCTTGTAGCCATACCGCTCGGGTGATCTCCATTTCCTTGGCGGGGTTTGGTTCCCTCTTTTCATCTCCTTTCCTCGGTTTCTTTCCTGGTTGCCGGTCAACGTCGCCCGCGTCGGTGGATTTAGTGCCTCTTCCATAATTATTGCGCGTCGGACTAGATTGTCCAAGTCGGGCCACGTATTCAGCTCTTATTCTCGCTTGATTAGGTCCCTTTGGAGCTCCTGGCTTTGCGTCGACATCCTTAGGTTGCCCGCAGCTACATTGGGCGTGATGCCCTGGACTTCGCATGAGATGGTGTTCCATCTGTCATAAAAGTCCACCAACGCCTCCCCTTCTCCTTGTGTGCAATTGATCAGGGCTGAGACTGTTAGCCTGCGGCGGATCTGGGATGCGAATTTAGACGAAAACAACGTGGCAAACTGTTCGAAGTTATCGATGATTCCTTCTGGCAGCGAGGTGTACCAGGAGCGGCACCTTCCTCCAAACGTTATCGGGAATGCTTTGCACATGTCCGCATCCGTGGCATTGATTAGCTGCATTTTTAGTGTGAACGCACTTAGATGGTCCCCCGGGTCTGTGCTTCCGTCGTAGGTTGAGAGGCCCAGCGACGAGAAGTTGGGGGGCATCGGGTTTTTGAACAACCTTTTGGCCAGCGCGTTGTGTAGGACACTTGGCCCCTTCCCTTTCGTGCTAGACTTCCCGAAGCTGGACTGCAGATGCTCTTCTAGGAAGCTGAGGTCAGCCTCAAGCTCCTCGTCTTCGGCCTCCTCTTCTGGCTCGTTGATTACGACTACTTTCTTTTTTCCCTTATCCCTTTGCACTCCTGACACCTCCGGAGGATTGTCTTGTTCTCTCATCCCTTCTTTAATCAAAGTAAGGATCTGGCTTATGTTGCTCTGCATCTCCGATATCTGCTTCCCGTGGTCCTTGACTTGATCCTCGAGCTCCACTGTTTCTTCAACTTCTGGGGAGAGGCCTCGAAGCGTGCGTGATTCTACGACTTCTTTCATGGGAGTGGTGGAGTTCCCTGCCATCGAGAGGAAAGTATTGTGATCCCTTCAGAAACGGCCCCACGGTGGGCGCCAAATTGTTTAAGCCTGGAATGTTCTGAGGCGTGATTGAGGCTGCTCTGTAGGGACCTTCGCCTTTCTTCTGACGCAAGCGTGCTCCTTATCTGCAAAAAAGGGATCCGGAGGCGGGGGCCTCGGATACTCTCCGATGCTTAAGTCAGTGTTTGGGTAGAGAGAGAAAGTTGATAGAGAAAGGGGTAGTTCAGTTACCATTAAATGATGTGGTTGGACCTCTATTTATAGTCTGTGAGGGTTGGTATGGGCAATTAATGCTCTGTTGGGCGTGTACCTGACGTGCTCTTTTCGTACTTACGCCCACGACTGCATTTAATGATGTCAGAGTAGCCATGATTACCGCTACTGCTGTCTTGTCGAGTTTACCTTCCCTATTCACGCTCGCGGGTTTGTTCCCGCCCTCCGCGGTGTTTCCCGTTCACTTTCTCGGGCTCCTCTTTCGGGCCTTTCCCCTACCCATTGGGCTAGTCCTGAGTTATTGGGCTTTTGGTAAGTGGCGAACTGGGCCTGGACCCGCTTAGTCATCCCGACTGGCCCAACAGTACCCTTCTCAATTTAATCAATTAGTAATGTATAATATGATTGTCTCACTTATCAATTTGAACCAATAAAGTAATTCATTTTCCAATTGTACCTTTCTCAATTGAATCATTCATTTAATTCAAATTGTACATTTCCCAATTGAATCGATTACGAACGGTGTTATACACATTTTTGCCATCCCTAATTCCATCAATTTGGTTAATACATGGGCCCTAAGGGTGGCAACATAAATGGACCATTAAGCCCATCTTATCACAACGTAACTAGGCATCCAGTTTGTATCTTAGGGAGCCTGTTTGACACTAGGGCTCAGGTGAGCACAGGCCCGTCAAACGTCAACGAGCCCATTATACCTAGTTTACGCGATCAAATGATGATGAATTGGCGAAGATATATATTTGAAGCTAAATTACGTATACCCCAATTCCTTTGGAGCTCAACAAAAGGGAAATTTGATTTTGACCTATGCTGTATTCCAAAGCAATGCCAAAAGTAAACCCACCAAACATGTGGACAGTTATTTCCTCCCCCTATGAGTTACGATTCTGCCCAAATTTCCTTCCACGTTCAAAACACCCCCCATCTTCCTTTCTACATGTACATCCGATCTGTGAGAGAGAGAGAGAGAGAGAGAGAGAGAGAGAGAGAGAGAGATATCTTTGCTATTGCTATAAATACAGCACTGATACATCTCATGCTTTCACCATTTACCAACATAAAAGAGCTCTCTTCTTGCTTTGATTGCTAGCCATGGTGACTGCTCTCGTCAACATACTACTCCTTCTTCTTCCGGTCTGCCTCATCGCTCTTCAACTAGCCCAGTGCCATAATGATATCTTGGTACGCTCTTTAAATAATACGTAAAGTTCAATCATATCCTTTCAATTACTAGTAACGTATTTTATATTATCTATACACCAAACCATGAAGTATAACGTATTTTATTGTTTCTACTTGAAGCTAATCCAGGACGTGGCCGACGTTCCCCTCTCCGACGACCCTTCTCCTCAATCAATTGGTACTTTGTACAGTTAATTAATCAGTCAACTCGATAAATTCTATTTAGAATACGGTTATACATTGATGAATTTTCGTCAAGCTGACTCAAATTTGACGTATGAATTAAACCAGATTGTGGAGAAGCATGCAAGGGGAGATGCCGGCTGTCGTCGAGGCCCAACCTGTGCAAGAGAGCGTGCGGGACTTGCTGCGAGCGCTGCCACTGCGTCCCGCCGGGAACCTCCGGCAACTACGACACTTGTCCCTGCTACGCTAACATGACCACTCGTGGCGGAAAACACAAGTGCCCTTAATTAAGAGATCGTCGTCGGGAAAAAGAAGAATCAAGTACGGCGTCGTCAAGTCCTCCTTCTAATTATGATTAGCGATGCAAATTATTAGTGAAGAAATAATTGTAGCCCGGATTGCAAAGTGAAGAAATTATTCGTTAGCTTTGGTCTATGCATGCCGTGTAATATGTGAATGCTCTTATTTATTTGTGTTGCGAGCTATGCCATGCAGCTTTACTCCATCCATTGGCGAGGCAGAGCCGCAGAGTTATAAGAATTGGGTTCCCATTACGACAGACAGGCTACAGGCCCATAGGTTCCCGACCACTGAACCAATTTGTAGCTGCAGTCCTCGTGCACCAATCCAGACATACCACAACATAGAGGGTAATTTACGGCTATTTGGTTCAGACTGTTTGGGGTTACTTGAAATCGGATCATATAACTGGGACCGGACCGGATCGAAATCGAATGGCAACGGTTACCTTTGTATTTTCATCCACCGGTGAAGGTGATTTTTGCTTGGTGCTCAGGTTATGGAAGCTTTCTTCATCGTCTACTGCTTCTAATATATCGTCTACAGAAACCTGAACTGCATTTGACTCCCTACAGGCATCCAACGACCATTTTGAGCTGGTCGTGAAGTTTTCGCCGGCACGGAGTTTGGCGTTTGCGCCGGTAACGATGGGTGAGGAGGAAGAGCGGCGGTGGCGAGGAGTGTGGGAGTGCGTGGGGATATTACTACTAGGTTCAGCTGACAACTTTGGGGATTTCTATCTGATGCGAAGGGACGAACGGTTCATCGGGCTGGAGATTTTAGGAGAGTAAAGAGATGTTTTTGGCAAAGGTAGGGTACACGGTAGGGTAGACGAAGGCAATGAGGAGGTTTGAGTCGGCAACCGATTAGATTGATTAGGTTTGGTTATTAATTTTTTATTAATATTTTAAGTGACGTGGCAGGCTGATTGGACAAAAGTAACAATTTTTTGGATGGAGATGGACGAAATGACATTTTCGTTATTCGTCCAAACATTTATTATTGAAACGTGCAAAATTAAAGGTTTGTAATAATTTTGTACTAAGTGCATAGTTTTGTGACCTTACGGCTAATTACCCCAACATAGATTCCTGGTTCTGTCACTTTTTTTTGTGCCATTAAGTCACTCAATTTAGAGGAACAACATGTACATAGTTATCGAGAGCACAACCAACGAGTAAAGTCGAACACGTGAGGCAACACTAATAGGACATGACGAGCTACCAAGTGAGCCGCCCTATTTTGAACACTACCAACAAATCGAATATGAAAATCAACTTGAGAATGCAACAAATGTCCAATCTCGATCAAAATGGCACCCATCCTTGCATCTTGGAGAACCCCATTATTGCAATGATCAATAAGGATCTTCGCCATCTACAAGGAACAAACCCATACTCCATTGCTGCTGACAACAAAACTCTTCAACAGCCAATTGGGCCCGCCTATTCAGCTCTTAGGTAAGGCCCTGCAAGATGATAGAATAGTAGGCCCACTCATGGATTGCTGCGTGGCCCAATTCCAGTTCTACACGTAACCTACAGCCCCCTTCCCCTACTACTAACAAATCAAATCAGCCCTTGCAGCAGCAAATGTTCTTCTACTGCGGCGGGCCCTGCTTGTCTGCCTTCCTTTCATTTCAAGACTGTAGCAATGCAAAGCCCAGAATGAATGACTGAATCTTCTCATTCGTCACAGGCCCCACCACCTACACGGCTACACCACATAGCTCAGTGAATCGTCGTCGTTTCGCTTCAGTTGGGTTTTGCGCCCCAAGTCCCAAGACGACGCAGCTTTAACTGTAGTAAGGTATGGAATTGGATGGGCTTTGGGATCGCAATGAGCAGTAATTTTTGGTGCTACGCAAAAAAATTGTCATTATTGCAGTTTTACAAATTCAATCTAACTCTTCACTAGGGATGAGAGAGAAAGTGACAAATCCACGCAATCCACATGATGAGAGGCCGGCCCAAGAGCGAGCGAGCGAGCCCACACCGTGCTTTTTGCATATTGGAACCGAATCATCAGCCCGCCTTAGATGAGCACGAATCCGACGGCTGGAGGCAGTCCGGGTTGTTGATGCGGAAAGAATCGAAGCCGTCGATTCCCAAAAGCTCAGTACAGTTTGCACAATGTCCACGCTGGCAAAGGCAAAAGGACAAATCACAAAACTGAAAAAAAGAGGTCTGCTGGTGGTGCTGGTGCTGGGTGGGGACAAGCGTCCGACGTGGCGGATACGTGGCAAGTCAGATCCAACGGCTGAGGAATGGCAGCGACCAGACACCGTCGATTGTGGTCTTGCAGGGGTCGTCCCTGGATGACGTGAGAATAGAAACTGCCGTATGAATGTGGAGGAAAGAGAGAGAGTTAATTCTGCAGAGCAAAAGGTTCGGATTTTCAGTCCTGTTTGAGAGCGACTCCATTGCTGTCAGAGTCAGAGCAACAGTTGAAATTTGAGAACTACACAGATAGAGGGAGGGAGTGGGAGAGAGAGAGAGAGAGCTCAGCTTTAGCTTACCTCCATGGCGGAAAAGTCAGTCCTCGCTCTGCTTCTTCTTCTTCTTCTTCGACTTCTTCCCATTTCCTCTCGTCTGAATTTTCTTCTGTGTTGTTTGGCAATGGCGGAATAGGAGGAGGAGGGGCATTGATTAGGGTTGATAATGAAGTTGATTTGGAAACTGAATTGAAATTAGTTGCGGTGATTTCAATGGGAGAGAGGAAGGGGGCGAGCGCCATTGATGAGCTGAATGAGATCTGTGCTTGAAGCAGCTCTTTCCTTTTTATCCTCACCAGTCACCACCACAAGGTGTTTCACAAGCGTGACCCTGAAACTGATAGACCGAGAAAGTAAGAGAGAGAGAGAGAGAGAGAGAGAGAGAGAGAGAGAAAGGCGCGCTCTTTTCACTTTTCTTTCTTCCTCTCTTCCTTCCTTTTCTTTTTCGTGTGAGAAGAGAAGAGAAGAGAAGAGACGAGAGACTGATTGTCTTTCTGCCTTCAGCGAGGCCATTTTTCCTTTTGTCCTCTCTCTCTCTCTCTCTCTCTTTCGCTTTCTCTTTTCTTTTTTCACGATGAGAACCTGATTCTCCTCCTTAGCCACGAGTAAGCGCCATCACACTTTTCCTTCTTCTTCTCTTCATCTTCTGCTTCCTCCTCTGCCTTTTGATTTCCGTCGTTTTGTTCACTCTCCAGTACTGTAGATCGGACACTGAGCTCGGATTTTTCTTTCTCTTAGACACCACACACTTTATTTTCCCCTCACGAAACTCATTCGCCTCTCCCTTGTGGAGTCATAATTACTACCACCATTAAACCATCTCCCTCTTTTAAACCTCTCCTTTCTCTGAACCGACGCTCTGGTTTCCTTCATCCCTTGATTCCTGCCGCATTCTGCTGCTAAATCCACTTCATTTAACTTGTTTCATTTATTTAAACTCTCCGGGTGGTTCCATTTCATTTCATTTCATTTCATCGGTCCCTGAGAAGAAAGGAGTAAAGGGTGAGAGAAGGAAAGATCTGTGGGTTTGCTGGGTAACATTTTTCAGCCATGGAAGCCGTTTAGAGGAAGGAGAAGAAGATGGCTTCTGGTTTTGGTTTACTATGAGAAATGAAGATTAAACGGGGAGCAAGTCGGTTCGCGCGCCAGATGAAGCCGCAGCAATCTGGTGAGTGAATAATATTCCCTCTTTCTGGTCCTGAAAATTTTGGAAAAAGAAAAAAAATTTGTACTAGAAAACAAGATAGAGGAAGCCCAGAAGAATTTATTCGAATTTGTCGTTTATGCTCTGTTTTTTTAAAACTTTTGTTCGTTGCTAGTCAGGCTTTGAATTAAAATATCCATCTGGTAGCTAATTATCTATCTACCTTTTGATTTTGTTCATTTGGAATGCAGCATCTGGGGGAGATTCAGTGGCGCCGGAGAAATCGAAGAAAGGGAGAATTCGGAGGCTGAGCGCCGTTAACAGAGCCAGCAGCTCGAGTTTCGAGGATTCCCCACCATCTTCGTTGATTATGGGGAAGAGAAATAATAATGGTGACGTGTGTGATAGAGATGAGCAGCAGCAACAGTTACCTTCTTCTTCATCTTCCCCTGTCAGTGGCAATTATGTCCATAGCAAGAGATTCAAGATCCCCAGAAAGGTAAAATTTTCTTGATTTGTTTGGTAAGTTTGGATGTTTATATAATTGGGAAATTGCTGTCCTCAGTGGGTTTTGCTTAGTAGTTAGTAACTCTTAAGCTTTTGATTTTTTCTGAGCAGTTGCTTGATGGCTGCAATGGCGTCGTCCATGCCACTGTTCCAAGGAAGTTACGTTCAGGTGAGAGTTGTTTTTTCTCGTTTGATTATGGATTAGAGCTTAAGCAAAACTGATGAAGGCTTTTCGACACTTTTTCTTCCTTTTCATGGAAGCAAAGATTCTCTGTCCTTTATCTTTTTCTGAGTATATAGATAGTTGGAATGTGAATGCTGCAGGACTCAGACTTTTTTACCCTTTTTGCAATGGGCTGATGATAACCTTTCGAATTTACCTGTTTGTAATTTTGATCTTACCTTTTTACCAGTTACTGGATCGTACGTAGCTTTTAACTTTTAAGCAGTCGGAAATGTCAAAGTTTTCTTCTTTTTCATCTTCTTCTTTGATGTTCACAGCAATGAAGAAAAGGAGTAGAGAGTCTATGTCTCCACCTCTCCCTGGTTCACAGAAGCTGAACCTTGGAACTGCTGGTGTTGAAGAAGCACGAAGAAGCAACGGCTTCAAAAGATCGAGACTTGGCTTGGTGAGTCACTGATATCTCGATCTACTCATTTGCGGAGTACTATTATATTTGCCTTCTGGATCAAGGTTCAGTTTACAGGATCTTGCTTGGTTCTTCAGGAGAAGCAACAGACTGGGCCAATTACTAAAGATGAGGAGGAAGTTGCTGAGGCTCTTTATGCTCTGGCTGGAATATTTCCAGACAATACCCTTACTGGTAACGAAGCTAAATTAGAAAACAATCCTCCAGATGAAAATGCTGCAGCTTTGAAGGATGGTAGAGAGGTTCCAGGCTCTTCAATTAAAGGTAGCAGTCTGTAGCTATTTGCCGATTAGTAGAAATATGCTGTGATATTCAAGTTGCTTGCCTGACGTGCTTTCTACTTCGCTGATTCGTTGACTGGTTGGAAAAAAAAAAAAAGAGGATTCGAACTCAATCCTCAGCTTGAGGGGCAAAATTCAGGAGGAAACCGCTGACATTAGCTCTTGGAAGATACCTCGAGTCCAGGAGCCTCCTGAAATCTACAATGGTAGAACTCTGGCTGAGAAAATTGTGAATCTTGTCGGTCAAGTAAACATGGACACTCATTCTCTGGTGGATAAACTTGAGAAGGAAAAGAAGCTTGTCTGCAATTTGACTAATGCTCTCGTTCCACTTGAGCCAGTTCTTGATAAAGAGTATGCTGATAATAGACTTCATTGTTCTGGGGCTCTTCTTGGTTACCCCCTTCTGTTCTCCGTGATTGGTGTGCATAATATGATGTTGTTCAACTTGCAGAAAGAAAAAGGTGCCAACCAAGCCAGAACATTGGTTACTTGGCAGAATGACAGAGGTTTCCATGGAGCTGGTGAGCTCAGTCATTGTTTGGTTTTCTTTTGTTTAACGACTAGGTTCAATTCTCCTCATCTAAATTTTTTGTTTTAGACCACTGCACGGGGGCTGCAACTGGATAAGCAGCTTCCAGTCAATGAACCAAATAAAAATGGTACAATTCACTTGCTTTGAAGCTCTAATTTCTGCACTTGCTCAAATGTTACTACTATTCAATACATACATCGATATATATTATATACTGATTTTGGCAACTATCTCTTTGGAAAGGTTTAGCTCTGTGGCCGGGATTGTCTTCAGCAGCATCAAGTGGTGCATCTTCTAGTCAGAACCCTTCTCTGCAGTAAGCTCGATCTTTATCCACCCTACTGCTTACAATATTTACAGTCCTCGTCATAACGATTCTTATGCACTTTGCTTTTTTGGCTGCCTCAGATGCTCTCCTGCTAAACTTCCTGCTTGGCTGGATGCTGCAGTATCAACTTCTAGGCTAGCAGCTTCACCTTCGAAGGTAGGTGCTTTGTTTTCTGTTCTTACTTTGCTATCTCCGTTGTTATCTGCTGTTATTTCTAAATCTCATCTCATTGATCAATAGGTCAGTGACAGAAGACCATGGAGGAGAAGCATGTCTCACGTTTGCATAAGCCATCTCATACAGACTTTACAAACCTCGGAAAGCAAAGACAAGCATCCACCAGCTAGAGTCGAATCCACTGAGACGTTGAAGCCAGGATTATCTATGACGCTGAATGACTTCCATGACATAAGAAAGGGTTTCACTGAAGTTGCCGCAACAAGTACAAACGAATCAGCCAGAGAAGGTATTGTTCTGCATCAGAGGAGGATGGGCTACAGTCAGTCACAACCCACTCTCCTTCCTCTTGGCACATACAGTTCTCAGAAGCAGCAGGTGATAATCTTATTATAGCCTTTCTGGTTCCTAGCTTTTGAAAAAGCATGCTCTATCCTGACTATCCTCAAATGGGATTATGTTTTCCCCCCCTCTCCAGAGCTTCAATTTCATGTCCTTTCTGCAAGCCAATACAAGTTTCAATGGAGCAACAGCACATCAGGTTTTTGTTCGTTCCTTAGAACACAACTTTTTCTTGAGCTTTCAGTTGCTCCATTCGTTACTTATGTTGTCTTTCAATGTGTGAACTATAGACACCACTTCACCCAACAACGACGTATCTCGGCAGGCCACTGTATGCTCCACCTAATCTAACAACTCAGCAACTACTACAACACCATCAGCAGCAGCAACAAGCACAAGTTCAGCAATCTCTTCTGGTGGCAGCTGCTCAGTACAGGGCAGCTAGAGCTTCACCCGGTGCAGCACCAACCATGACTCATCTTTCCACTTGGCAGAACAGGAAGCAAGACACAGCACCACCAGCAGGAGCAGCAATGGCGATGCCAGCATACGTCCGAGCCATTATAGCACCACAAGATCATCAGCTTCACGCCAGAGCGAGAAGGCAAGGCGATGCCTTTTCGTCTGGCTATGAGCAGGGTGTTGGAAGAGGCGGGTTTAGAGCGAATGGTGCAGCAGCAGCAGCAGCAACAGCGACAGCAACAGCACTTCCCCTGCAACTACTCTGCGATGAACGATTATGAGAAAAAGGATTGTTTCACCTGATCATGATTGTTTCATTCTTTGCCTGTGTGAAAGAAACGTTAGCCCCACTGGACGTGATGATTGAGAGAGCGAAATAAGAAGGGGGAGGAGGGTGAGAGATGGGATTCTGGGCTGGGGAGTATAGCACTTACCTCTTGTACAGCCGTCTTACAAGGATGGCAGCGAATTTACACAGCCAAAAGATTATATATAAAATCAAAATTTTGACTTATTTTCATTGTTCAAGGTGTTGATGTCAATGTAATGTGCACGAGGTCCTTTATAAAAAAAAAAGAAATATGCATGAGGTCCATGATGCGCAAGGTTGTCAACCTGCGGGTTGACCCGGACTCGGTTGAGCTAGTGGGTCAAGGGTCAATGGGTCACCCGTTTTAGCCCGGAAATATGGAAAGCGTCATTATATTGTATTTATCCTGATAAATTATATCAAATCTCATCTAACATATGAGTTATAACATATAATATTACACCAAAATAACATTTCGTACTTAGATTCAACATATAGTGAAAATTCACACACACTTATATAACATTAATATTCAAATGTTCAACTTAGGATTCCAAAAATTGAGTTAGGCGAAAAGAAAAATCGGAAAATAGGCGCATTTCGCAAAACAAAGAAAAAATGATACAATTTGACCTCCAACCCGGTACCTTGTGACGGTCGACCCGGCGGGTGCATGCGGCCCGTTTTTCTCACTGGGTCAGGGTCAAAGTGGGTCAACCCGCGGGTCGACCCGCGGGTTGACAACCTTGATGATGCGTAAACTAAAATTTAACATTTGTGTCATAGACTTTGATTTCTGAGCTGATAGTGTTAATACAAGCCCAAGTATGTTTAGAACTTTTTTATCCAACAATAGATTGAACTAAATATTCCAGATTTGGATAATCCTTTTTTTAGTGGAATTAATTGTGCTGCGGGATACAAATATTTTGTGCCATGAAATGGGGCTTGAAGAGGTGTAAATTCAGATGAGGATGCACAAGTCAGTAATTGATAAAGCTTGTTTTTGGTATGTGATTCTCTTGTGTTGTTTTGACAGAGATTGAGGCGAACGCGGGCAGTGACACAGGCCATGTTGCAATTTGAATAGGCCTGCTCATAGTGTATGCTTAACGTGATGTGTCGGTCTTGATTTTTATTTTTTGTTTCTATCTTTTATGACTTTTATTATTACTAGTTTTTTGGTCCGCGCTTCGCAGCGGGAGCAATAAATTATTTATATTAAAAACTTCAGCAACGCATTTAATGATTTATTTGAAATCAAATAGTCCACAAAACAATTTGGATAATATATCTTCACAATTTTTACGTAGTGTCTTAATAACAACTAAAGAATTATGTAATACATTTTGTTTAATTGGTACATAAGAATAACTATCTCTTCATGAATTTTACGTAATGTATTTGTAATTTAAATAACTGTTATAGAACAGTGTTACGTAAATCATCTGTAATGTACGGTCCAATAATAAAATCAAGGTTGGAAAGTATCATGTTGTATTAAATTATTATATAGAAGTTACGTTACCTTGCGGAAACCTTTGTGTAATGAAAATTGATGAGACTGTGACTATTGTAGTTAACAATAAAAAATCAAATATGAAAATTATCACATTTAATTAAATTATTATATAAAAAACAAATCACTTTATACAATCTTTGTGTAATGCAAATTGATGGGAAGATACCATTTAGTTGATAATAACTTTTTTTGTTCAAACTTATATAATGAAAAACATACTTTATACAATAACTATCCAGTGTTAAGTTTAACATAGTGTATTAGTCAATGCAAAATACTTATGTAATACGTTGTTTAATTGGTTTTTAAGCAATAACTATCCCTTCATAAAATTTACATAATGTATTTGTAATACGTAAATCTTTCCTAACTTGTAATAAAATTTTTAGGAAACAAAAAGGTACAATTGGCTATAGAGTAAATTACTTTACAATGAAATTGGGTGCAAGGGATGAGAAACAAAAAATTACCTAGACAGGTCGCTATAAGGGAATGACGGGGTCTTGATAAAATTGGTTAGTTTTTTCGTAATGAATAAGACACTGCGTAAAATATATGGAGAAATAGTTAGTTCTTATGTATCAATTAAATGCAATTATTATGTATGTCTTCACTTACATAATTGTCTTTAATTATGAAAGACTTATGTAATGTTTTCTTAATTGATACATCAGAAATGATTATCCTTTCATAAGTTTTACATAATGTCTTAATAATTAGAGAAGGCTTATTTAATATGTTTTTAATAGATGCGTTATGAATAACTATCTCTCCATAATTTTTACCTAATATATTTGTAATTTATATAATTAATTTGAAAAATGCACAGTCATGAAAATTAATTTATATAATTATGTAAATCTTTCATAATATGCAGTCTACTAATAAAATAAACTTATAAAAATATCATATTTTGTTAAACTATTATGTGAAAGTTAACTAACCTTATGAAACTTTTGCGCAATTCAAATTGATGTCATGTTGAATAGATAGGTTAGTAATGAAATTTTTTTGTTTAATAGTAAATGAATTGATATACATGGTGAATACAATAACGAATGAAATTTTGTTAATAAAAAATGTGTAGTCATAATAATAATAATAAATTTTTTGTAATGTGTGGTCTAATAATAAAATAAACTTATCAAAAGTATCACATTTGATTAAGTCATTATATGAAAGTTAACTAATCTTATGAAATCTTTGCCTAATTCAAATTGATCTCATGGTGAATACACAGGTTAATAATGAAGAAATTTTATTTAATAGAAAATTAATTGATATACATGGCGAATACAATAACGAATAAAATTTAGTTAGTAATAAATGAATGAATTTATGTAAAAGATATCTTATCAAATGTTATGTAAAAGATATCTTATAAAGTAAATGAATTAATATTAAAAAATATATGTGTAATAATTCTTTGTTTTCAAGATCTAATTTTTTATGTAAAGATAACTTTTGTTATGCGTAAGGTAAAAAAAAAAGGAGAAGATGAAAAGTGGAAGGGAAAAATAGGAATAGGAAGATGTTTGGTAGCAGGCTAGCAGCTACCGAAAACATGTTTAATAGGGAAGGAATAGAGTTTTACCATAGTCTTGTGCACATGATAATAAATTCTTTTATGAACAGTACTAATAGGTGAACGGAGCTATTTTTTCGTGATGAACAGTATTTTGGGTGTTTGGCTTCTTGCGGTTTTAATTAAATAATTTTTTTTGGTATTTCGTGACACACGAATGATCTATTGTTAAAAAGAAAATAATTATGTCTAATGAAAAAATTAGATAAAAATAATAAACATAAGATAATGGTGATTCAAAGATAAAATATGCAAGTTGTGAATGGTACTTTGTCTCTAATACATGAATTTAGTATGAGTTAAATTTAAATCTTTCTTCGAATAAATGTCTTATGCATGAGGTGATAATATAACAAATCACCGTTACTCCATTAGCACTTGTGAGCTCAAGGTCCTTACAGAGAAGTTTGAAACCAAGTACATTTAAAAGAAGAAGAAAAAGTTTCTATTTTTTATAAGATATTGGAGAAAACTAAAATATTATTTTAATTATTATAATATAAATAGCGCCAGTAATACAAAGGGGTCCAGTGGAATGCGCATGTCTACTATAAGTTCTATGTAGCCTAGTGGAACACCGTTCGATTGATCCTAGCTCGTGATCTCAACCATAGGTTTCTGAATTATTGGTTTTTTCCTTTCCACCTTCTCGTACTTTCCCGAATACCAATTCCTCCGATTACCCTAGGACGACCCGCCAACTCCCTACAACGATTGGATGGTGACTAGGCAAGTCGTCTCGATTCCCTACAACGTGGCACCGTCGATTTTGTTTCCCTTTGCATCGTCTTCGATTTCTTCTTGGCTATTGTGCGTCACAAAGAAGGGTGGAAGGATTACCAACATCATCGCCTCATCTCTAACCCTTCCATTGCTCCTGGGTCGCGTAGCAGAGAAGGATGACGAGGACGAAGAATCATAAAGAATAAGATCTGACGGACATGGTCACCGTTGATTTCGTTCCCCTTCAATTCCAATGGACAGGTCCATGCAACTTTTGTGCACCTATTTCTTCCCTCACCTCTGAAGATTTTCTAGAGGCTTTGCAAATTTGGAAGAGCTCCTTGCCCACTATCCAGTCTGCCCACTCGCTCCAAATCACCTCCGTTTTCTCCTTGAACATGAAAAAGTAGAGAATTCATTGGAAAAAAGTCAACCAGCCTGATTGAAGAAGCAAGCGGATTCGACAACAATGTCCATCTTGTTCTTTGCGAGAAGTGCTTCACTCATACGATCAGCAACGAAAAGCTAACCACGGTTGTTCGATGGATGTAGTCGCAGTATAGCAGCCAAACTCGAAGGGTCATCTCCGGATCCTCCACCGCCGACGTTGTTGTTGACCGTCGTACTCACCGCTCCACCGTCAATTCCGCCGCTCATCATTACCCAACAGGTTTAGAAGACCTGCTCTGATACCATGAAGAATTTGTATAACGCAAATAAGAAAATAAATTTGCTCGATTACTCCACGGAGAAGTTGCTATCTCAACTTTTCATTAGGGTTTTTCGGCAGCCATCTTACACAATACATATGCTCGACATCAACAAGAAACCCGAATTAAGGTTGGGCAAGTGAGAAGACCATAATACCCTCATATATTTGCTATAGGATCTCTCTTCCCTTCCCCACTTTCCCTCAAGGTCTCTGTCTACTCTATCTCTCTACACACCTTATACCTTCTCTATATCGTACTAACTTGGCCGTTGGAGCGTAGATCCCGGGGGTCGTCCCCCTCTTCACATATTCCTCGCCTCCCTAAAATATCGAACGAAGGAGTCCAAATCAGAGCCTCATAATTACTATGTTAGCCTTGGTGACTTTCTAGGGCCTAACAATTTGGTGCCCACTGTGGGGCAATGATCTAGGAAACCATTAATTAGATTTCTGAAGGAGGGAGGATCTCTCAATCCACAAGTCACGAAATCTTCAAAGTAAGAAAACAAAGAGAAGACAGGCGCACATGAAGTAAAAAGGAACAACAATATGGAAAAAGGATGTAAAAGCTCCACTAGAGCTTCCTCTTGGTATAGGTTCAACAACAAAAGGAGATAAAAGAAAGAGTAACAGGAGGAATGCAAGCATGGGCAACATCAACAATAATTATTGGCGACAGCTTCATCTTTTCCTTGTTACCGAAAAATAAAGGGATTCAAGCAACTACCCCTTCTCTCACGCCGGCGAGAACTCATCTTCTTCTCTGGTCAGCATCCTTGTCGGACATTACTCCAACTTCTTGACGCTTCTCTTGCGAACTCAACACTCCATCTTGGCATTTGGAACTCCTCTCATCCCTCAACACCAACTACAAGCAACAACAGTAGTTGCAAAGTACGAATATTTTTCAGTTTATATATTTTCACCATTATAAAAAAATAGCAGTTGCAAAGTTCGACCAAGTAGCAACAATTGGAAAGAAGAAATAAAAAGAAAAATGATCGCCGACGATATGTCATTGTTAGAGCCCCGATGGCGAAAAGAACGAGTGGCAGCTGCAATCACCATCACGTCACTCCAAGTCCCTTCGCCTTCTCCCACTTTCCCACCAGCTTTTATGACTTTTGGCTCTAAAAAAGCAGACTCCTTTGCTACATTGGAGTCACATCAACGTTACCTTTTGCTATTAAAAACAAAAAAGAAAGAGGTTAACAACTACTTTTCTCTTACTAGAGAAGAAGACATCAAAATTATCGAGGAGCCTATGCAAGTGGATAGCGATTGGAAAGCATGAGGTGTTCACCTTCAATACCAACTTGACTCACATTCTCACAACACCAACATAAAGGCTGTCCAACCAGCCGCCATCAATTCAGCTCGCCTGCGGCCTGCCAGCCTCCAACGGCCCACACAATCAACTTTCATCATCAAACGCCTTCAGCCCACGAAGCCCACACCGTCTTCACCCTAAGCCGCCTCTCAACGACCCACCAAGCATCGACGACCTCCAAGTTAACACCGCATCAGCCGCATTCAAAGCCAGTTTCCAACTCGTAAGGCGTCTCGCATTGGGCTCAAGCTGAGCCGCGCAGCTACATCAAGCCCGCTTTATAGTCCACAACTCAAGCCCACCTCCTACGCAGCATCAAATCAGGCCCAATAGCCTTGCATTGGGCCAGCTTCGCCGTACCTCAACCTTCAGCACGCCAAGGAACAAAAATTCCTCCCTTAGGAGTTGAATCCTGATATAGTCTCACGCATCGTCCATGACACTTGGGCTGCCTCCCATCCAAGCTCGAATGACCCACTTCACGTCCAAACGCTTCACCAAACGCTTCTCCTTCAACAAATAACTCGGCCCGCTTCCAAGATCCGCCTACAACTCGCAGCACGCACCTCATATCCCGCTTTGCATCAAGTTCACCACCATTTTCAACAAAGGCATTGGGACTCTCCTTGAATTTCACCACCTAAGAACGCCTTGCCATCAGAGCCCAAAGCCTCCTTCCCAATTGAAACAATGAGGAAAATGCAACCGCCAAGCTTCGAACCTACGACCACGACAGAACAAGGACGAGCACTCACCAGTACGACACAACCATACAATGTGAAGCAATTTGGAAAGCTTTGGATTTATCACAAACAAGCCCATCAAGCACGAACGCGTACGGAACACTTAAGCCAAGCTTCGAACCTAAGTCCATCCTCCCGATTTCAAAGGCGCTAACCTGTATGCTACAATGATGTCATGTGCTCATTCTGCAACGCTCTTTATTTCTCACTCGCCTCAAACGCCCAGGCATTGCGCGGTTCAATGCCTCGAACTGCCAGACCGTCTCTCTTACAAAGATATTCCTACCGGCCCATCAAGACGCGGGCCGTCTCCAAAGCCTAATCCGCTCCGCATCCATTAAGCTTCAGCAGCCCTTAAATTAAAGAGGCTTCTGTTGGGTTTTGAACGAGCAACCTCATTCCTACAAACATGGGAACCTACCAGTGAGCTAAATAGGTGTTTGCGCATCAATCTTGCAACACTCAAAGTTTGAGCGCTTCTTTGTTGTCGTCTACAAACAAGCTAAGTATATTCATCAACAATATATATTTCAAATACCATGTCATGACACACCATGAATAGGCTCATTACAACCATGTTAAAAGCATGTATCTCAATTCCAAGAAGAGTATCGTGCCAGGACATTATATAGAACAAGTTATGCTCATGTTATGCTCTTAAAATATTGGACACTAGTCACTCACATCTCTCAAAAATAGTGGAAGACACATGTCTTCCGCCTCCGGGCAAGACTCGAAGATCCCGGCCTAGGAATGCTTCCCGCCTCTTAGCGATGCTCCCTATGGGAAATGCTTTACGCTTCTTAGCGATGCTCCCTCTGTGGAATGAATCACGCCTTCCACCTCTGGGAAAGGCTGAAAAATTCACGCTTCTAGCCTCCGAGAGAAGCTGAAAATTAAAACACTTCCTAAGACGCCAAAAGTTTAATGCGCTTCCCAGGAAGCCGAAAGACTAATGTGTTTCCCAGGAAGCCGAAGACTAAAGCACTTCACAGGAAGCCGAAGAACTAATGCGCTTCTCAAAAGCAGAAGACTAAAGCGCTTACCAAAAAGCCAAAATACTTAAGCGCTTACTATGAAGCCAGAAGACTAAGGCGCTTCCCAGGAAGCCGAATACTAAAGCACTTCTCAAAAGCGGAAGACTAAGGCACTTCCCAAAAAGCCGAGGACTAATGCGCTTCTCAGAAGAGGAAGACTAAATCGCTTCCCAAGAAGCCAAAAGAATAATGCACTTCTTAGAAACCGAAAACTAAAGCACTTCACAGAAAGGCGAAAGACGAGAGCACTCTCAGAAAACCAAAATACTACGCGCTTCTCAAAAGCAGAAAGACTAACAACGCTCCTCTGAAAGAAAAAAGACCGAAATTCCCATGAAGCTATAAGAAAGAACCCCCCAAAAGCCGGGAAGACATAACACCTCTCAGTAGGCTAGAAGAAAAAACCAGTAGGCGGAAAGACGGAACACCCCCAGTAGGCTAGAAGAAGGAAAGCCTCCTAGTAGGGGCAACATCGACGAAAAGGGAAAACTTGATCCCACCTCACACAGGTAGGAAATTGGCAAAACACAAGAGCATCTTGCGTTAAAACTCTCAAGGACACCCTACCTAGCCTGCAGTTATGGACTACTAGCGCTAACAACAATGGACTAGCAAATGAAATATTAACAACTTGAGAGCTCTAATTCAAGCATCAAAAGATAAGCAAGAGGCAAAATGCATCATCATCCAGACTCGCAAGTAAGGCAAATTAATACACTTAACGCATTATGTTACTCCTTCATCCTTACATAATACAAGAAGCAAAGGGGAAATTGTTGGGTGTGGTATTAACCCGCCTAATATGGCAAACGACTATTAATGGGCCCTAGCCCACCAGAAGACGTCCTGATCCCAAGCCCTATATAAGGAGGCCAAAGCTTCCAGGCCAAAGGATCTCTCTTTCCTTCCCCACTTTCCCTCAAGATCTCTCTCTCTCTCTATCTCTTCTCTATCTCTCTACACATCTTATACCTTCTCTATAACGTACTAACTTGGGCATCGGAGCGTATATCCTAGGGGTTGCCCCCCTCCTCACAGATTTCTCGCCTCCCAAAGAGATCGAACGAGTGAATCCAGATCAGAACCCCATAATTATTATATTATCCTTGGAGACTTTCTAGAGCCTAACATCTTCCTATATCGAATCAGTGGGCTTAGGACAGTTATCACTAAGGATCGGAAGTAGGGGCTTCCCATGTGCAAACTGTTGGAAGAGTCGAGCGCGAGACTCAGGGATTAATTCCTTCTTTTCTTCGATCAACTGGAGTTTTGCAGAATCCTAATTTTGGTTTTGACAGGAGCAAGTGAAGAGAGTGGAATAAAGATGAAAAACTGAATCGATGGAAAGGTTAAACGTCTCTATTCGGCTGATATTCAGTTGGCCCAAGATAATTTATTTAAACGCTGTGTTTTGGAGTCTCTGTTTCCTTCTCCTTCTCTTTAGCAATCCGATCAGAGCTTGTCCTGCACAAGTCTCAGCTTTGCAATTGTAATAAGAACACAAGATCAATCTGGAAATGAAATGAAACAGAGTAAAACACAATGAAAACACAGACACGATTTTTACGTGGTATCCGGTACTGATAAATTCAGTACCGACTAATCCACGGTCAAAGGTACTCTGATTTGAGTCCTTTGACGTTCCACTATGATTGTAGAATTCAGATTACAGTTTACAATCGATCTCAAGGTGACTCCCCGTCACAAGATCAAACTTCCTGATTCAAATCTCAGCTCCCTGCCTGAATTCAAATCGCCGATCACTCAACCTGTCTCTCCGACAGTTTCCCCTCCTTTTCTCTTCAAAACACAGTCTACACTCTTGTCTCTGTTTTTGAAGGTTTGCCCGAAAAGGATTATTCTTTCTTCTGAATTTCTTCTCACTTATATTCACCCTTTTTCCCACCCGTTGCATTATGATTTGGAGAATCAGTTGTTGCCTTCTGATTTGGAGAATCAATCTCTCGTCTTGAATTCCTTCAATTACTCGATTGATTTGGCCTTTCCACTTCTTGCTCTTCGCTTGGAAATTTCTAATCTTCTTTCCTAAAATTGTAAGATGCCAGTAGACATAGCTTCACTCAACAAACTCCCCCTAAGCTTGTCACTGGCTCTTTTCCTTCCTGCACACATGTAGCAAACAATTGGTGCAGTCTTTTCCAAAAGATTATAACATAAGTAGATGATGCATTCTTTGGATATTCAAAAACCTTTATTCATAACTTCATTATTCAACTTTTGAAACAAACATCCCAAGCTCTTAATAAACATCCACTAGTATACTCATTCTATTTTGTACTAGAATGGATATTTCGGTGGGGACTCATATTCAGACACGACATCATCATCACTAGACTCACTAGATTCTGAATCAGAACTGATCGGATCATTGATAGTTCCAGATTCATACATAAACTTTGGCCACATCAGATCTTCCTTCCTAAGTTTCTTCAGTTTGGCAGACTGCTCTATTTCTGCTGATGATTCACGCTTGATAACAGTAACAGCAGCATCAACAAGTGCTCCAACTAATCTCCCTGATGCATAAGATGCAGGACCAACAATTGCTCCCCCTGAGCCAGTTAGAGGCTTACGGGGCCCTACCAATGCATCCAGCTTAGCCAGCACATGCTGGGGACGAAGATCGTCCAGAACGTTACATTGATGCAGCTTGTCATGCAAGTCAATGCGGAGGAAGGATAAAAGCCGGGTGATTTGGGGACCAAATGGCAAAGGACCGTCAAAGTATTCCATCCCAAACCGAATCATATGGTGGAACATGAGAGAGGCATAACTGATGACAGTACCAGCTTGAGCATGAGAAAGCACCCATAAGTCAGATGTGCTAAGAATATCAGTACTAGAGAGATCTCGGGGCAGAAAGCTCCTAGTAAGGAAAAAATGAAGAACCTTAAGATCATCAGGTAGTCGACCAGCAGCAAGTCGAGAGGGAAAATATTGACCTATGTCACGAGTGACCGATTGCAAGGCACCCTGAAGGTCAAACCCCAGTGCTCCAAATTCGCTGTCAGTGCCAGCATGGAGACCAGCATGAGGGAGATTAAGAGCTGTTGCCAGCAATTCCGTAGTGACTTTGACTTCAAAGTTGAAGACCATTGTGGTGAAAAAGGTCGGGACTGGCCCAGGACCTTTCTGAATGTTGACATAAAACAGACGAACAGCTTCTGGACAATAGCTGAACCTCATATTTTCCACCAAAGACTCCCATCCAAGACAATGAAGGAGAGATGGAATGTTCATGTCATACTTGGAAAAGCTAGATGGATGGATGGAAAGTGATGGATAGATGGGTCGATCACGAAATCGACGGAGATATCTAGAGTAGACAGCAGCGTTGCAGAACCCTTTGTTGTTGAAAACAGCAGAGTGTTGCAATTGAGCGTTGGTCGGAGCCATGAGGAGAAGTTGTGGATGAGGTAATTGTAGTGCTGAACTGAATGAGTTGAAGTTCACAAAGGCCTTAAGCATCTTATAGCAGAGGAAGAATTATGGACAAGGAAGGTGTATCGGTATTTGGAGGGAAGAATCCCAAGAAAAGGAAGGTGAATCATTTGATTCAGAAAATCAGAATATCAAGGGGTGGTGATTGCATCTAGGATAAATAAGCCAAGTTCATTGCGTATAGACAGAAACTTCTCCACCCCTAGAGGTTTAGTAAAGATATCCGCCCATTGCATGTCTGTGCTTACAAATTCAAGTTGAATCTTTCCATCTTGAACTAGATCGCGAATAAAATGATACCTAACCTCGATATGTTTAGTACGAGAATGTTGAATGGGATTTTTGGTCATATTTATGGCGCTTGTGTTGTCACACAGAATGGTAGGGGATCCTAATTTAAGGCCATAGTCTTGTAGTTGGTATTTCAGCCAAAGAAGTTGGGTGCAACCGAGTCCAGCTGCTATGTATTCTGCTTCAGCAGTTGACAAGGCAACTGAACTCTGCTTTTTGCTGGCCCAAGAAACTAACGAAGTTCCAAGGAAATGACATGTACCAGAGGTGCTCTTTCTATCAAGAACACATCCAGCATAGTCAGAGGCACTATAGCTGAGGAGTTCTAGGCTAGACTCTCTGGAATACCATAGACCTAGAGACTTAGAACCTGATAGATAGCGGAAGATTCTTTTTACTGCAGTCAGGTGGCTCATTTTTGGACAACTTTGAAAACGGGCACACACCCCTACACTATAGACGATGTCAGGTCGACTGGCAGTGAGATACAATAGAGAACCAATCATGCCTCGATACAATTTGACATCTACTGACACTCCACTTTCATCCTTGGTTAGTTTGGAAGTTGATCCCATTGGGGTTTGAGCTGATTTGAGGTTGGTTAATTCGAATCTGTTAAGCATATTTGAAAGATATTTTGATTGACTGATGAAAATTCCATTTTTGTTCTGCTTAACTTCTAGTCCTAGAAAATGTTTTAATTCACCCATAAGACTCATCTCAAAAGCTCCTTTCATAGTGGTTTCAAAATCCTTACATAAGGTTTTATTAGAAGACCCAAAGATAATATCATCGACATATATTTGGACCAGAATTGTATTATCTTTTTCAGATTTTATGAAGAGAGTTTTATCTACTGATCCCCTGTGAAATCCATCACTAATCAAAAAACTACTTAACTTTTCATACCAAGCTCGAGGAGCCTGCTTTAGACCATACAAAGCTTTCTTTAATCTGTACACATGGTTAGGGTATTTGTGATTTTCAAAACCAGGTGGCTGAGCCACATATACCTCTTCTTTAAGCTCACCATTTAAAAAGGCACTTTTAACATCCATTTGAAAAAGCTTAAATCCTTTAGAAGCAGCAAAAGCACACAGTAACCTAATGGCTTCTAATCTGGCTACAGGAGCAAATGACTCCTCAAAGTCTATGCCTTCTTCTTGACTATAGCCTTGAGCCACTAGCCTAGATTTGTTTTTAGCTATCTCTCCTAATTCATCAGTTTTATTTCTCCAGACCCATTTAGTTCCAATGATTGGTTTGTCTACAGGTTTTGGTACCAAATCCCACACATTTAAGCGTTCAAAATATCCTAATTCATCTTGCATTGATTCTGTCCAAAATTCATCTTCTAAGGCTTCTTGTATATTTCTAGGTTCAATTAAGGAAACAAAGGCTGTATGTACATTAGCTTTCTGAGACCTAGTGGTCATACCTTGATTCATGTTGCCTATGATGAGAGAGGGAGGATGCCTCTTCTGAATGTGTGGAGGAGCTTGCATAGTATGTTCTTCACTTTCTATTTCTTGGTTAGAGTTCTGTACTCCTTCACTAATGTTCTCTTCTTCGGTTGACTTCTGTTGAAGATTGTTAGAATGATGTCCAAGCCCTAGATCATCATCCTCGTCTATAATATCTGCACACTTACTGAAAGATTCATCAAATACCACATGTATGGACTCTTCTACCTTGAGAGTCCGTTTATTGTAAACCCTGTAGTCCCTACTGTGAGTAGAATAACCCAAGAAGATTGATTCATCCGATCTAGAATCAAACTTTCCTAGATTATCTTTTGTATTGAGCACAAAGCATTTGCATCCAAATGGATGAAAATACCCTAGATTAGGCTTTCTATCTTTCCATAACTCATAAGGTGTTTTGTTAAGTTTAGACCTAATTAGAGCACGGTTAATGATATAGCATGCTGTATTTACAGCTTCTGCCCAGAATCGTTTAGGAAGACTATACTCATTCAGCATTGTTCTAGCAATCTCTATTAAAGTTCTATTCTTTCTTTCCACCACACCGTTCTGCTGAGGTGTTCTAGGGGCAGAAAAGTTATGTGCTATACCTGCCTTCTCACAGAACTTATCGAATTTTTCTGATATGAATTCACCACCATGATCACTTCTGATGTTGATTACCTTAGCTTCCTTCTCATTTTCCAATCGTTTGACTAGATTTTTAAAGTTTTTATAGGCCTCATCTTTACTTCCTAAGAACATCACCCATGTAAATCTTAAAAAGTCATCAACTACTACAAATGCATATGATTTCCCTCCTATACTCATTACATTGCTTGGACCAAATAAGTCTAAGTGTAACAGTTCCAAACATTTTGTTGTAGAGATGATTTGTTTAGATTTAAATGAGGATTTTACTTGTTTTCCTTTAGTACAGGCATCACAGAAGAACTCTTTCTTGCAATTTACCTTAGGAATGCCAGTTACTAGGTTTAAACTTACCAGTTTGGAAAGTGTGCCTACACTAATGTGTCCAAGTCTCCTGTGCTATTCTAATTGATCGTTTTTATCAACAGTTACTAGACATAATTCATTAAAAAGATTTTTATCACTTAAGTTTATGCAAAACAATTTTCCTTTCCTTTTCCCCGAGAACAAAATTTTTCCACTTTCAATGTTTTCTACATAGCATGCAGTTGGTTCGAATATTACTCTATTTGACTCTCCACAAACTTGACTAATTGAGAACAGATTATGTTTTAATCCATCCACTAACAACACATTTCTTATTTTAGGTGTATTTCCAACTTCCCCTTTACCAAGAACGTTAGTACTATAGTTATCACCAAAATAAACTTTACCTTTCTTTTCTTTAATCAGTTTTGTGAAGAGTTTTTCATTTCCAGTCATATGATGTGAGCATCCACTATCCAGAATCCACTCACTGTCTTCCATGCTCACTTGGAAGCAGACCTAATTACACAAATGTTTTACTTTGTTTTAGGTAACCAAATCATCTTAATACTAACACCTTTTGGTTTTGGGTGTTGACACATATAGCTCATATGACCAGTTTCATGACAACTGTAACATACAGTTTTTCTCATTCTGGCTTCTTTAGCTATTCTTCTTTCACAATTAGCAATGTAATGTCCTCTTAAGTGGCAATAGAAACATTCAACATTTGCTAACCTTTGCTTATAATCTGTGTGTCGTGACTTTCCAGATTGATTTCTTTTTGTGTTTGTGACTTCATGTCCTGCTAGCTTGAATTCTAGTTCACTATTTCTTTCCAAAACTTCATTCATGTACTTATCTAGAGCAGACTTTTCTTTCTTTAGATTATCATACTTCTCATTCAATTTGTCGAATTCTAGCTTAAGTTTTGAATACTTGTTCTTAACATTTTTGACCTCTAGTTGTATATCCCTAATGGTTTCATTTATTTGATCATTTTCACTACCAGTATCAGAGTAATAGCTTAGAGTCCTTACTTGAGACGAGTGGCATTCATCGTCACTATCCCCAATAGCCATGAAGGCTTCTTGCCTTCTGCTAGATTCTCCATCTTCGTCTTCATCTTCACTGCAGCTCCAGGTGGCTGCATATGCTTTGTCCTTCTTCATCTGAGGACACTCTGCCTTGATATGTCCATTTCTTCCACATTTAAAGCACCCTGCTTGTGGAGTGCTCTTCTCAGCTACCTCTTTTCTGAATCTGGTGTTCTGTCTGGATTTCCTGAACTGATCCTTGTCTGAGTCAGCATCCTTCACTCGGCCACTGATATTTCTTCTTCTCTCCTTCCTCAACCTTAATAGCTTGGCCACATGTTTGCTTAACATGGCCGATTCATCGTCCTCCATATCATCCAGATTATCAAATTCCTCTTCCTGTTCTGAGACCTTGAAGGCTATACTCCGTTTTTCTTTCCTTGGTTCCTCGCCTTCTTCTCGTCTCAACTTGTCTTCGTGTGTAACTAGAGATCCCATCAGCTCATCTAAACTTAGCTTGGTTAAATCCTTGGATTCCTCTATTGCTGTAACTTTGGGCGTCCATTTCCTCGGCAGAGCCCAGAGTACTTTTCTGACCAGATCAGCACTGGTGTATTCGACTTCCAGGTTTCTCAGGCTGTTGACGATAGTTGTAAACCTATCATGCATCTCTTTGATCGTTTCATCCGGTTTCATCACAAATGCCTCGAATTCTTGTTTGAGAACATTTATTCTTGAGATCTTGACATGAGTAGTACCTTCGTGGGCAATCTGTAGTTTGTCCCAGATTTCCTTCGCGGTTTTGCATCCAGAAACACGATGGTACTCCTCCGGCCCTAATGCGCAGTACATCAAGTTTGTGGCCTTTGAATTCAGCTGGAAATTCTTCTTATCCTCATCGGTCCATTTCCCTCTGGCCTCCTTGACTTCGAGTGGACCATCCAACACTATGTTCCAGAGATCCGGATCAGTTGATCCGATAAACAACTCCATGCGATTCCTCCAATACCCGTAATGCACTCCTTCAAAACGTGGCGGTCTTGTCTGTGAAAATCCATCGGCCATGAATACTCCTCCCGCATTTGCACTCGAACCCATCTCTGGAGGTGATTAATCCTTCTTCGTCGGAGCCCGGGCTCTGATACCACTTGTTGGAAGAGTCGAGCGCGAGACTCAGGGATTAATTCCTTCTTTTCTTCGATCAACTGGAGTTCTGCAGAACCCTAATTTTGGTTTTGACAG